TTATCTATGAACAATCCATACCAAGCTATCTCTCTCGGGAGCCTGGTGTAGATGAATCTTACATCCTAGCATTTCCTTATGGTGTAATTATGACAGTACTTATCATAGAATTTCTGGTTTTATGAGTCCTTTTGGACATGATAAACAGCCTTGATGAAAATTTTTAAACTTGATAATTAAAAAATGCTGAATAATTAACTGCTGAGAATTGAATGAGGGACCATTGAAGCATTGTTGAAATAAGCTTGTAGATGTGGTCGCTTGAGCTCTTCGTGTGAGTTTGGTAAGGTCATTTAGATTAGTGGGACATTTTCTCCTACCTGACTGTTTTCATAGAGAGGCTTTGGGCATAAATGAATTTAAAGTTTATAGAATGACTTATGTTCTTTTATATTCCTGGCCAGAATTCCATCCATTCCCAATAACTTATCACATGCTCTATCCAGACAGGTCCCTGGAGCTGGAGAGGTAGTGCAGTGGCACAGGTGCTTGCCTTGCACACGGTCAGCTCAGGTTGACCACTGTGCCCCGTGTATGGTCCCCTGACACCTACCAGGACTTATCCCTTAACACGGAGCCAGGAAGAAGCCCTGAGCATCAATGAGTCTGCCCCCCACCCCCAATCAGACCCAAACAACAAATGTTTCTGGAATCTTGGTTTTTCCCTGCACCAGAAGTGTAAACCAGAGTAATCTTGTAGTAATCCTCAATAAGTCCCTTCCTCTCTCTGAGGCTGCTGCCCCCGTTAGCTTCCTAGCCCACAGTTGATTGCTCTTATAACACCCCCAACCCCTACAAGAGCAGTGACAGCCATCCCTGGAGCCCACCTGGAGCTCTAGCACTGGGACAGCTTTTGCTGGCAAGCCCGGGACTCATCTATGTCAACCACCTCTCTCCTTCCTATCCCCAAGCCAGCCCAGTAAGCAGTGCCCCTGTCCATTACTGGACCTAACTGCAGCCACTTCATAACATCCCAGTGAGGGGCTGGAGTGATAGTACAGAGGGTAGGGCATTTGCCTTGCACACGGCCGAGCTGAGTTCAATCCCTGGCATCCCATATGGTCCCCCGAGCACCGCCAGGAGTAATTCCTGAGTGCAGAGCCAGGAGTAACCCCTGAGCATCACTGGGTGTGGTCCAAAAAAAGCAAAACAAAAAATAAAAACATAACATCCCCATGACTTCTACCTCACAGGATTCGTTTAGATGGTAATACACCTAGGCTTCCTGCACAGAGTTTAGAGGACATGTGTAGCTGGTGTAGAAGGAAGAATTTTTTTTTATTCTGGTTTGGTTTGGCTTCTGGGCCACACTGGGCAGTGCTCAGGCATCTAGCTCTGTCCTCTGGAGTCGACCCCAGTGGTGCTCACGGAAATGTAAATACTACTGGAGATCAAACCAGTGTTACAACCATTGCAACCCCGTGCAAAGGAAATGCCTTTCCTCCTGTCTTATCTTTCTGCCTCCAGAACTAGTATTTTTAACCCTCAGCCAGTATTAATACTTTAAGTCTTAAAGGATCGAAATAGTAATGGACTTCTGTCTTGTCCATTCACGATACTATAGCAAATATCAAAGACTGGGGTGGAGGGATAGGCAGTGAGAGAAATGTTTATTTCTTGAAATAAATCCAAGGTGCCAGCAGACTTGGTGTCGGGTGGGAACCCACGTTCAGATCAGAGGCAGCTGTCTTCACAGGCTGAGGAACCATGTAGCTTTCTGGATTCTCAGAAGGGCTCTCATCTTATTCGTGAGGGTTCTGTTGCCATGTCCTCATCACCACTCAGAGCTTCCATTTCCCTATATATAAACCTAATGCAGCCCGTGAGAGTTTGATATATAAACTTGGAAAGTACGCAAATATTTAGTTTATGCTAACCAGCTGACTCTTAACTCAAATTTGGGGAGTTCAAGTGTTGATGACGGAGAGGGCAATAGAAAAGAACAAGAGAAAAATCAAGGTTACACTGAGCTCCAAGTGAAATGAGGCATGTCACCTGCCCTTCGCCCCCCCCCCCCCCCCCCGCTGTGATCTGATTAGGGAGCTAGGATAAGAACTTTCAGAGATAAGAAAATCAGACCATAAGAAGGCACATGCTTTATTTGAGGGAATCTGACAAAATCGAAAATGTTACCGCACCCGTTCCCATCTTGGACTTGTTTTCTTCTCATTCTCATCTTCCTAAACCCTGCTTTGTAAATATTGTTAGGAGGCCCAAATCCTGAACTTCAAATCATGGTTCTACTATCAGTACAATTTGCATTTTAGGCACCACGCCTGAAACTATGGAAAGGGAAGAGATTCCGTTTAAACCTTCCAACTTTTTGACCCCGTCTCTTCTCTTACCAGGCAGAAAATACATAAGTCCTGTCTAGCCTTTGATATTTTTCCAGGGAAGAAAAGAAATGAAGTGCCACCACAGTGGCGGTGTTCTTAACCAGCATTTATCACTGTACACCCATTAAAAGGAAAAGTGCTTTGTGCTTCCCTTACTAAACAAATTAAGTCAGCAGAATGAAGAGGTTCCTATGCTCATTATCTGCATCTGGCCATGCAACACCCCCACCCCAAGTGTGGCTCGTCCCAGCCTGACTGTCAGTCACTGCACACACACATCTGCAGCCCATTCACCCTTCACAGGGGCCAGGGCTGCTGAGAGCTCTCCAACCCGCAGGAGGGCAGGAAGCAAGCATTACTGTGGCTCTGTATCTCCACAAAGAGGCCAAAATAAGAGACCCCAGAAAGTGAGAGAGACCTTGCCTACGAGTTGATGTCAGTTCTATCTCTCCATCTTGAAAGTGTCTCAGTGTCACAGCCAGGCATTAACCTAACTGGAGCTTATGAGCATGGGCCGTGGAGCAGACGCCTGTATTGGCCTCTACACTGCTACTTGAGTCAGGGTGTCCCCAGAAGGGACTCTGAACCCTTATGCCTTAAGTTGTTCATCTATTCTATGGGAATGAAAAATAAAAGCACCCACTATCCATGGATGGTTATTGCCAGGATTGGATGAGTTGGTATTTTATTTTATTACACTGATTTTTGAATTGCTGTTTTACAGGCACCATTTAGTTCAGGTTCTTATTGCCTTCCAAGTTGATGGCTTCAGTAATCTCTTGGACAGACCCACGGGAAACAAGCCTGTTCTCTCCTCCGACCAATACCTCCCTTGTCAATTGCCATAGCAACACCTCTCGAAGATATATTTCTACCCATTCCATTCATGCTTTTGACAAGGAGCCTAGTCCGTCTTCATTTGCCTGTTCTATCGAATCCAAATATCTCTGCCCCACATCCCAGCAATTTGCTAACTCTACCTCCTATGTTTTCTCAAGAGAATTTGCCATATTTTTCATTCTAAAATCTCACTGTGTTGTTCTCTGCACTCTATATTTTTCCCCACCATCTGAGCACTATACATAACATCTCTCCCATGCTGTCAACAAAACACTTCACCCATCCCAGATTTTCTTTCCTTCTTTCCTTCTATTTGTTCTCCCTCTTCTTTCAGAACTTTATCCGGGAGTTTCTTCAAGTCTTCCCGGTTCCTGCTACTGCTCTTCCCACACCCTTCTGTGTCTGTGGCTTTCTACATGAACCAACGCAGATTTTTGATGAAGTTCCTTGTCTAGATTGATAACTACTGAAGACCAGAAGCAATATAGAATGTCCCATTCCTTCTGATTACATTACTCCTGGGGGATCAGCTCAGAGCACTGAGGTTGATTGAATGATCCGCATGAAGTGTGTGTTTGCTCAATCTGTGTTATTCTCTGAATATAAAAGGGCATGGGAGTCCCCTGAAGACAATCACAGGAGAAAAGCCAGTAGGGAGCACTCCAAATGGAAGCATATTTCAGCAGGCTCTTATGAGACCCAATCAGGCACTTGCCTCCTGTTTTCATATGTTCCGTTTGTATGATAAAAAAATGAGTAGATGAAAAATCAGGCGAGCTATGGCATTTTAGACTGTGGCAGGCTTCTCCTCTGCTCTGAATGCTTGCCTGGTTTGCATTACGATTTCCTTCCTTGCTGGAAAACTACACAGATTTCTCCCTTTCTTTGGAAGAAGTGGGACCTGTTGGAAATGTGAGGCTCCAGGATTCAAATGCAATGGGCTTGGCTGTAGTGCTCTGTAGTGCGTTTCTTGACAAGTCCTGAAAAGACTATTGAATTCTGGCCTGTGCTTTTTTTCTGCAGTATTTGGATGTTTTTCAACTGCAGTGTTTGGCTGGATAAAGTATTTGAAATAGAATTTTTTTTCTCCTTCCTCAGCAATCTTACATTACATTTTCCTCCTTTCAGTTAAAATGGAATATTTTACTACTATGCAAATACTTTGGAGCTCAGTAGAATCATAACTCTTTCACAAGTGAACAACATATCTTTCAAAATTTTCAGGCAAACAGGACACATACTATTCTGATAGCAGTGCTCTCCTTATTTAAAAAAAAATGTTAGGTATTTGGTGAGCTTGTAATAGGACAACAAGTCATGTTGAAGATTTTTGTTGTTGCTTTAAAATATATGCATCTTAAAAGGAATTTTGCTAAGTAGAAAATTCTTTTTTTTTGTTTCATGATTAAAAACACTATCTAATAATCTCTGCAGTTCCATTGTGTATGTGTGGTGGGCTCAGGGTTTTGATATCAGTGTAATAGGCTATTGTTCTCCAGTAATCTTCAAAGGACTGGTGGCCTTTGAATCTGCTCCATATCTAAAATTCTAGCTTTAATTATCAGATTAGCCTGCATATTTTTTTTCTTTGTGATTAAGGAAGGAGAAGCTGAAATGTGTTTATTATTCAGCAAAATACTTGAGAAGGTAGGATCTCAAATGTTTCATTCTGTTCGGGAAATGAGAGCTGGTCAAATTATAGACTCCCTTAAGCCAAGGGAGGGAAATTAATAAATCAGGGGCACAGAGCCACTGAGTGACATGACAGAAATGGCTGCACATGTGGTGCTCTCTGCTAGACAGAGCTGGAATTGTGCCTTTCAGGGTCCCTGCAAGTTATGAACAAAACCAGAAGGATCATGGAGCATGGGGGTGCCACCTTCCCCAATGCCTTTGTGACCACACCCATGTGCTGCCCCTCCCGGTCCTCCATGCTCACCGGCAAGTACGTGCACAACCACAACGTCTACACCAACAACGAGAACTGCTCCTCGCCCTCCTGGCAGGCAATGCATGAACCTCGGACTTTTGCTGTGTATCTTAACAACACCGGCTACAGAACAGGTAAGGATGAGCTTCCTGCCCCATGAACCTCTGATAATATCTTAGATGCCGTTAAGACGCACTGCTGTGAAATGAATGACATCCCCTTAAGTCCCTAAATGAAATCATTGATGCCTTTCTCTTCTCTCCCAGTCTCCGCTCCATTCCTTCCTTTCACTCTGAAAAATGTCCAATCAGAAATTCCCTACAGAAAAGACAGTAATTCTCAGTGGCTGCACGATCAAAGTACTGTACCTCCCCGAACTCCCGGCAGTTAGAACTTTCCAGGTGAACCTACAATGGAAGAGTTTTCAGCCATTCTATCTGCTTCCTTCAGGCTCCCAAATCTCAAGAGATCACAGCACCACTCGAGACTTGTCTCAAGTGTTAGTCACTTTGTGCTCGGTGCTTCAGTGAGAAATCATGAGTGCTTTCTGAACTGCTTTGCACCTCTCGGGGTCTGGGATACATTAGAGAGTCAAAACCATGTACTGAACTAATGTAATCTTTTTGGACTTGTGCATATCACACTTATCCATTTATTTGCGCATTATCATAAACAGGATTGGGGGTTTCTTTGCTATAACCCCAAATTGTGGTCATCAATATTCTTAAATGTTTACCCTATCCAGGAAGGGAAGGTACTTGTTACAGATGCTATAATTGTTTAACCTACAAAAGGCAAGAAGAGGGTTAGGGTTAGTTCATCTGTTAACAATTGAGGGTAGTTCTCAGGAGAGGTAAAAATAGTATAATGCCAGGACTGGAGAGGAAAGTGAGGGATTAATATACTTGCCCTGCATGTGGCCGACCCTGATTAGGTTGCCAGCATCACTTGGGGCACTGCACCACCAGGAGCAACCCCCAGACTTAAAACTGGGAATATCCCCCAGCAATTCTGAGGATCACCCCAAAGCAAACAAACAAAATCATGCCAATCTAAGAAAGAAAATGAGATACTTTGGGGTAAGTTTGCCCTCAATCCTTTATTCTCCCAATACTTATATATTTGCCTTGGGTTTTCTCAGCATTTCTTTATGGATGTAATAATGATTTTGAAATAAGGTCTACAATACTGATTTAAAAAAAAACTAGATATGCTCATGAGGATTAAAGATGTCATCTTTATTGTTTGTTATAAATTATTTTTAGGTACACAGATTTCTTATTCTGAAGATTTAAGAGGGAAAGATTATAGATAAATGTAGTCTCTCAAATATCTTTAAAAAGGGAATTAATCTTTCCCACTGGACTCAGGAAAAATGTGGCCATGTGCTTCTTTGCAGAGCACCCTTTGGGCAGTTAATGCTTGTTATTTATGGGTAGAATTATTGATCCTGATTACGATAGCATTGTCATTCACAGGCACTTCGAGATGTCTGTGCATAGAGGACACTCCCCCTTGATCACCAGAGTGCTTGCTGACGCTTAGTAAGGAAACTGGTTACTCAGAATGCCTTATCCTGAGTATGTTTTCTCACATAAGTGATTTAAATTTATGACACCTTTCATCCGAGAGCTCGAAAGCAATTTGAAAATCCATCAAACATCCCTGTAGGGTTCATAGACAGCAAATGTACTTGGCTATGTTTTATGACTGAGATGGGGCTTTTAAATATTGTACAACCAGCTCAGAAGCAAAATCAGAATGGTTCCCTAATGCCAGTTCTTTTTCTTTCCTATTTTGTTCCTTTTTTCCTCCTCCCTTCCTCTCTTCCTTCCTCCCTTTTTCCTTCGTCCCTCCCTTCCTCCCTTTTTTCCTCCCTCCCTTCCTCCCTCCCTCCCTCCCTCCCTTCCTTCCTTCCTTCCTTCCTTCCTTCCTTCCTTCCTTCCTTCCTTCCTTCCTTCCTTCCTTCCCCTACCTCTCTTCCTTCTTACCCTTCTTCCTCCTTCCTTCCTTTCTTTCTCTCTTTCTGTCTCTTTCCTTCATTCCCCTCCCTGCCTGCCTTTTTTCCTTCCTTTTTCTTTTCTCTAGGGCTGCTATCAGCTTCACTGCTCCACACTGTGCTCAGGTGACAATGTGGTATGGGGGTTCAGACCCTGGAATCCCATGTGCAATAAAATATATTCTCCAGTCTTTTGAGCCATCTCCCCAGACCCTGATTCCTGGATTTTAATTTCAGCCATCAAGTTGTGTTTTGTTTATGGGCAGTGTTGTATGTAATCACTGCTTTTAACCTCTTAGGATCTCTATCATTGAAACCCTGGAGTTAAACCATATATTGAAATTAAACCATATATTGAAACCATATATGGAGTTAAATCATATATAAACCATAGGTCTTAAAGGGTTAGGACTTTCAGTGTCTGCCTAGATTTAAAGTGGTGAGTTAGGACTTATTAATTTGTTCCAGGGCCAGATCAAGATATTAAGTTCTAGGTGATTACATTCTAAATAAATATATAATAGCAGTGACTGTGGTCAGCAATATTGTGTACATGGAATTTACTAAATTTCCTAGATCTTAGCAAGTTCTTGCCACAGGAAAAACTAGCAAAGGTTCGAGGTATGAAAATGCTGATTGTTTAGGTGTCTGTGAGTATTACACCGTGTTTGTGTATATTGAGGCATTGAGTTGCACACTTTTATGTACATACACAGTTTTTTTTACTATTAGTAATACCTCAACAAAAGCTGAGAAAGAATACAAGAAGAAAATTAGCTTTTGTTGCATACCTACCTTGCACCGGGCTCTAGCTAAGTTGTCTCACACAACTCTTGCAGCACCCTTTAAAGAAAGGATTTGCCCAGGTTTCCAATAAGAAAGAAATAGAGATTGGGAGAGTCATTGTCGAAGGTTACAAGGAACACATGGGTAGCAGGAGCCTTCCAACACATGTGACTATAAATTCTTTTTTTTTCCCTGTCACTTTTTTGCATGTATATCTAGCATGCTCCACTCCCAAGTTTCTTATCAAGATACACATAAAGCATAATAGAATATAAAGGAATGGAACCCTGAAAAAGAAAAGTAGTTCTAGCAAAAGTCAAGAAAAAAGCTGTCAGGAAACTGTATGCCATGGAGTCATAGAGAACTAAACTTCCAGATGGCAAAAACAAAAGAATGGAAAGACGACCTACTGCAAAGTTCATTGAGTCACCAAGATAAAAATAAACCAGTGGCTTCTAAGGCAGCATATTGTCTCCTGTTTCTTGTTTCAATTACACTGTGCTCTGCCCCTTCTCCACTGGGTTACAAGAACTTAAACAAAACTGAGAGGTTACTTAGACACGTTTCCTTCCCTTATTCTCAAAGGAGCAAACACAGACCTACAGGATTAAAATGACTTTCTGTAGTGACACATCTGATGTTCTAGTGGGAGCAGCAGGCATCTAGATACTGGTCTTCAGGGCTCTTTCTAGTATGGCCATTAACCTCTTCCCAGTCGTAGATGATTCTCTGGGCACCATCAGGCTTCCTGGATGGTGCACAGTGGGCAGCTAGCAGAGGATGAAGCAGTTGTCTTCTCTAGAGACAAGCTTTTTACTCCCTGGAATCTCACTCTGATTCTAAAGTCAACTTCAACTCAGAATCAACCCGTTGTCCAAGCTCTTCGGACAGAGTGGAATTTTCAATGACTCATCCTACAAAGCAAAGGGAATTCTTTAAGGGAATGGAATTTTTCAAAATGTTTAGTTACGTGTAGGCAAAGGAAAATATTCACTGTAGAAAATTAATTTTGATGTGCCTATGAATATATCAGAAAAATTAAAAGTTGGAAGATTAAAATGTCCACGATAGAGATCTGTGTAATTTAAATTTATCTTTGATGGAAAAATATTGAAGTGTCTCAGATAATTAATAAGTTAAGGTGTCTTTGTGACAGTAATTATTGACCCAACCAGAGACAGAAAGTCATTTAAAAATATACAAATAATCACATTAGGTTACAGTCATCTTAGGAAAATAAGAGTAGGTAGGTATTAAATCAGTGTAATTATTATGAGCTACTTAATCTAGTGGAGAAAATGCACATATATAAAGACATTATTGTTTTCTTAATAATCATTACTTTATTTGGGACATCTAGCTAAGAACCCAAGAAAAAATATCGAGGTAAACTGAAATATCTACTAACCTCTTTTATTGCACATAAAATTTATTATCTACAAATATCAATCTAAAATAAAGAAGTGCAAAACAATGATCATTTTGAAAGAACTCAGAGAAGATAAATTGCTAGGAGGTTTATTTTGGGAGACAGCCAAAATACATGGATTTGAATACATTGATTTTGTGCAATATTATATTTACTATTATGTGAGATAATTTTTCTTTTTTCAGAACTGAGGCATATTTTTGGACAGGCTAGAGCCTAAATATTTCTAACTTTACTCATGGAAAATATGATTCTCCCAACAGCTTGAGTGTTCAAGAAGAGGAAAATACAGTAACATATCTATTGCATTTTGTGCTCTGACAAGTGAATTGGAAATGTTATGGATTATCTACTATAAAAAGAAATAAATACTCTGTCTATATGCTCAAAAATAGTTTAGATTTTGTGTGTGTGTGTGATGATGTAGGTATGATTGTAAAACCTAGTATAAGTGTTAAATTAAAAGTAATAATCCACTTTTGAGAAAGAGTGTTAAGTGTTAGGAAAAAAAAATAACAGAATGAAGACTAAAAGCCCAAGTCAGATCCTAGCTCTGATTTTCCTGTGTGGAGGACTTGTATAAAACAGTCTTCTAAATTGAATAATGCAGCAGTGCTATGAGAATGAGTCCTAAATTTTCTTTTCTGTCTAAATTATAGTTTTATTATGATCACAGAAATTATTATATTGGTTCCTTTTTAAATTGCAGAGTTCTATGACAACCATAAGATACAATACATAAAATTGTTTATGAATTAAAGTTTATGCATATAGGGTCTGGAGTACATGCTTTGCATACAGAAGTACCCCAAACAGTTACCGGGTACCACATGATTCTCCAAGCAACATAGAAAATGACCCCTGAACACCTTGCGTGGGATGACATCAGAGCAGCCCCAGTATAGCCCTAAAACTAATAA